CTTTGCGTTTCCCCTCCAGTCTCTCCCTGGGAACCCAGCAGAGGTTGGAGGGAGGGTGGGAGTGACGTGGTGGCTCTGCCCCAAAACAAAGAGTTGTTCTCTGAACCCAGGAGGCAGAAGTTGTGGTGAGCCGAGATCGTGCCATTGCACTCCAGCCTGGGAAACAAGAGCGAAACTCCATCTCAAAAAAAAAAAAAAAAAAGAGTTGTTCTAATTTTAGAGTCTTAATGGTGCCCGTTGAGGCACACAGAGAAGGGGTGGAGTTCTGGCTGCTCTGAGCTGAAAGTCTTCCTAAAATAAAAGGAAGGTCTGGATGACCCCTGACGCTTCTGGTTCATATGTGAGGTGTGTAAATTCCTTCTCTATGCAAAATATGAGAAACCTTGCATATATAAAAAAGATGACATGGGGAGTGCTCTGCGTGCAGTTGGGGAGGGGCCCAGGGCAGAGGAGGGCTGCTCCCCAGGGCTGAGAGGCCCCTAACGGTGCCAGGCTGGCAGCAGGAGCCCTCCTCTCCCTCTGTCTCTTTTCTCTGTCTCCATCTCTCTCTCTCTCTGCTGGCAGTGACTCAGGAACTCCAGGGCCTGAGATGTCCGTGGGAGTTGCAGAGGTGCCAGTCTGAGGGGCAGGCTAAGGATTCATCTGCTTCTTAGCATAAAGGGCTGAGAGGATACGGGACCCACCCCTCGTCCATTAGGGATGATGAGGGCACAAGGGGGAGTTCTGGGCGCTTCTCCACAGCCAAATATTAGAGACCCTATGATTATTTTCTGCTAAAACCAGGGCATGCTGCCAGAGGAGCGGATGAGCTGCTCTATGTGGGACTCCAATTCACTTCTAGGATGCTTTACCCTTTGGGGCAGAGCCATCTGCTTCTGTGCATGGCTTGGATCCAACTTACCAACACTGATAACTTTTTGTGCCTATGATAGGGACAGGTGACATCATCAGCCCCTCACATCTGCAGAGGTGCTCCCCATCCTGTGTCCACTCTGTGCTGGGGAAGGGGAAGGGGGCTGGAGGCTGAGGGAGTGCCGGGGATGCAGATGCAGTGCAGAGTCAGAGTGTGCTTCTGGGAAAAGCCTGGAATGCGGGGCAGCTGGGGGCATAGGGCAAGGGTTACTCACCAGTCCTGAAGAGGAGTGGCGGCTGCAGCCCCACCTATGCTGGAAGCCTCTCTCCGCCTGTCCGATGCTCCCCTCATGCCCATTCCACTCCAGAGCACATTTCCAGGAAGTGCCCTGTTCTGGGTGTCACCATCACCCAAGCTGGGGCACCTCACAAGCCTGCTGGTCGTGGGTTGCTGTTTCTCTGCAGGTGTCCCAGGCCCAGGGCCAGGGGCTAGTCAGGCAGTGCTGCATGTGGGCGTTGCCTCTTCAGCAGGGGGACAGGGGAGAGGGCATGAGGGGACCCCTGAGCTGCTCCGACTAATCAAAGTACAGACACCACAGCACCAGGTAAGTTAGATCAGGTGCATTTATGACAAGGCTGATATAAAAAGGAGGAAATGGAAGTGGGAAGTATTTTTAGTTTCTGTATTTCCCTACCCGGGCAGGGGCAACTGGCACAAGACTGGATTCTTGGCCTCCGATTTCCACTCCAGCACTTTGGCTATCAGAGGATGCTCTGTGAGCCAGCCCCACCTTCCCACCAGCAGCTTTTGGTGGGGTTGGCAGCAGTCCGTGTGCAGGGCAGAAGCCTGGGGAGGCAGGGGCTGGGTGCTGCCGGTCCCTTGGAAGACCGACTTCTGCCCCTGTGCTTTGTGAAGAGGATATGAGTCAAGAGGTAACGTGTTCTAGAGTTGTAGGCTGAGGTGAGGTCCCATGGCAATGTGAATTCTCTGAGAAGAGGCTCGGCCTGGAGTGTAGTCCTGCTGAAGGCCACAGAGGCCACAGACTCTGCCCAGACTCCCAACCTCCCTCCACAGCAGGGGTAAGGAGGCCTGCAGCTGGATGTGCTGGTGGTGCGTGCAAGGGCTCAGCTTCTCCAGGGCTCCTGCGGAGGCCTAAACATCACGCAGGATTTTGACATTAATTACCACTGTGACTGCTTTCTGTGTGTAACTGTTTTCTCCACACTCTAGCCATCTAAAGTGGAGCTACAGAAGGCCCCCGCCCCCACCCCTGCAGATGTCCCAGCCCTTGACAAGGCCCTGGGCTTGGAGATTTCCTGGGGCTGGATCTGACATCATTTCAAGCAGATTTTAACCTCCCTCCCCGATTTCCATACCCACAACAAGATGCCCTGGAGTTATATATAAATGTTGGCCCCTGGGTGCACTTCTGCCAGGACCAGCACCTGGACACCGCACTCTGAGCTCAGGAAGGCAGGAGGCTCTGGACCCAGAGGCCCGGTACAGGAGGGGAGGCCCAGCTGCTGCGGCCTGGGGCGGGGCTGCCCTGCAGGCTCCCAGAGCCCAGAACTAGGCCTGATCAGCTTGTGTGTCAAGGGGCGGGGCCGTGAGAGACGGGCTGCATTTTGCTTCACAGGGTTGGCAGGAACTGGAGATAATAGAACGTGGTTAGGGTCCAACACGCTGCCCTGAAAATACTATCATTACTTTCCTAATGACTAACCGTGTCTTTCAGCCGGCGGGGCAGGCAGCTGAGGCCGCGGGCTCCCGCAGAGGACCGCGACGTGGGAGGCTGGCAGCCTGCAATCTAAGGGCACTGACGGCGCTCTGCCCAGAGCCCCGCGCCAGCTCCAGCCTCCAGCACCGCATCCCTGGGTCCCTCCGGGCCTCTGCCCGCAGAGTCAAGGTGGGGCTGAGGCAGCCCCGGGCTCTGGGCCTCCCTCGGGCCCAGGTCCTCTGGGATGGGGGGACACTGTCCCTCCTCCTCCGTTTTTAAAAACGGAGACAGGGTCTCACGATGTTTCCCAGGCAGGTCTCTACTGGGCTCAAGCGATCCTCCTGCCTTGGCCTCCCAAAGCGCTGGGATTAAGGCAGGAGCCACGGGGCCCTGCCCCACCATCCCTTCCGGTTAATTTCCAGCAAGATCCTGGCCACAGCGTCCTCCCCTTGCATTCCCACCGCCTCGGCCTCCCTCCCCTCCTTCATCCTGCTTCCCCCCCCAACCGCCAGGCCCGTCCAAAGCACTGACTCGCCAAGTGCGTCCCCCACCCCGCTCCACACTCGCCCGCGGGGCGGCCCCATTCCCGAGTTGGGTGTGGCCCCGACTTCCCTTCTCTGCGGACTCAACGTTTGTAGCTCGAGGACGCTCACTCCAGCCCAGGCTTTTTTTTTTTTTTTTTTTCTATTTTAAGGTTGTCTTTAAATGACAGAAGCGACATTTGGAGACAAAAGGACACCTCTCTTCCCGACCCACCTCCAACCCCAGCTGACGGCCGCCCTGCGCGTGGCGTGGACGGCCCAGAACGTTCCCCGGGTGGGTTTTGTCCATCGGAAGCCCTGTCTCCGCGCCGGCTCGGGGCGCCCGGGGGCCTGCGACGCCGCCACGTGAGGACAGCCCGGTGGCCCGGCCGCCCCTGGCGCGCGCGGGAGGCGGGAGGAGGGCGGGCCCCGGGCTTTGGGGCGTGATTCCCGTCTGTGGAGGACGGTCCGAGGCGAGCCGCCGGGCCCTGGGGTGTCCGAGGACTTTTCTCCGGCTCAGGGCCCCCTGCTGCCGTCCCACCCTCCTCCCGCAGCCCCCCATCCCCGCAGACACCCGGAGGCGCCTCCCAACCCGGCGAGGGTCCCGGGGAAGCGGCACCAGGCGCGGCGACTGAGATGGGTCGAGCAGCGCCCTCGCTGGGGGCGTCCGGCTGCCCTCGCCCCAGGCCGGGGCGGGCGCTCAGCGCCGCGGAAGAAACGCTCCGGCGAGGACGCACTACGAGGCAGGCTCCACGGGAAGCACGGGGAAAACCGCGCGGAGCGGAAGGGCCCGGAACCAGCCCCGGCGAAGGGCGGCCTCGCCCTGCAGCACGCGGGGCCCCGAACGCCCCGCCCCAGGCCAGGGCACGCGAGACGCCGGGCGGGCGGAGGGGACGGGGCCCGGAGCCAGCGCGGGGAGGGCGGCTCCTGGGCCCAGCCGGGGAGGACCCACCCTTCACTGGCCCCTCGGGGCCCCTGCCCGCCGGACGCCGTGGCCCCAGCCTCGGTGCCGGCGCGAAGCCCGCAGAGAACGGGAAGCGGGGACCACCCAGGGGCCCTCGGGGCCCCGGCCTGGCCCCAGAGTTCAAGCCTCCACTGGCGTCCCGTCCCGTCCCAGCCGGGCCGCCCCGCCCACCACACCGCCCCGCCCAAGTCCCCGCCCACCACAGGCCCGCCCTGACTAACCAAGGCCCAACTCAACACAGGCCCGCCCCGCCCATCTGCCGTTCATTCACTGGGTCCGCCCCGCCCACCACGCAGCTTCCCCGCCCACCAAGTCCCCGCCCTCCACTAGCCGCCACGCCCACCACAGACCCGCCCCCGGCCTGGGCCCCGACCCATCAAGGGCCTGAATTCCCCCACCCCGAGCCCCGCTCACTGCTGTTGCTCCCCTTCCAACCGCCCCGACTTAAACCTTGCCCCGGCCAGGCTCCCTGAATCGGCCCCGCCCCTGCCCCACCCCAAATAATGACCCGCCCAGACCCGCCCACTGCCCGTCCCCGCCCTGCCTCACTTCATTAGGGCTCTGCTCCGATTCTTGACCCGCTCACTAAATGCCCCGCCCACGCCGAGTGACCAGCCCTGTCGAGGCCCCGCCTCCTCCCCGCCCAATGGTCTGCCCCGCCCCCGCGCGTCATTGGGCCTGGTTCCCTCCGCCCCCCCGCAGCCCCGCCCCCGCCCCTTTGACTCGAGTTGGCTTTTTCCAGAGAACTTCCCGGTCTCGGATTGGCCTCGGCGGTCCATGTTCCGCCGTTTGGTTGGCCCGCGGTGCCCGCTTTCGCGAGCCTGCCTTTAGGCGGGGGCGGGGCCGGCGGTGCGCGCGGCGCGAGATTGGTCAGTGGCGCAGGGGGGCGGGCCCGCGCCGCGCGCAACGCTCGGGCTGGAGCGCCTGTAGCCACGACCGCCGCCTCAGCCGCCTCAGCAGCGGTGTTCGCCTCCTCGGCCGACTTAGGATCCACCGCCGCGTCTCCGCCCGCCTCGCCCCGACCCCGCCCGGGCCGCCCCGCCTCTCCCCGCCGGCCCGCGGTGTCGCCGTTCGGCGCAGGGCAGGTGAGTGAGCGGTGGCGGGCGGGGTCGGGGTCGGGCGCCCTTGCGGGTTACGGGGACCGAGCCCCCGACGGAGGCCGAGTGACGGGGCGGCCCGGGGCAGCGAGTGGACCCGCGCTCCCTCCAGGTGCGGGCGTGAGGCCGGCGCCCCGCCCGCCCCTCCCCAGATTCGGAAGTTGCCGCGGGAAGCCGAGAGCGCCCCGGCCGCCGGGCAGGAGACGTCGGGGCTTCTGGAGGCTTTAGTTTCAAAACGGCGCAGGTTTCTCCGGAGGGCGAAGAGAACGGGAACCCCGGAGCGGCCGCTGCGGGCTGGAGGGCGGCGGCGCGGGGCCTTCTCCCCGGGACGGCCGCCGGGAGGGCGCGGCCTCGCCCCTCGCGGACCCTGCGGAGAGCCGCGCGTGGGCGCCGGGGCGCGCGGGACCCTCGTGGCGGTCGCTGTGCTCTGCTTGAATTCCGGGGGTGCTTAGAACGCGTTTCTTATTGTTCCCACACGAAGGCTTGTTTCCTGAGACTTTCCCTTTTTGCGCGGTGGTGGTTTCCATCCCCCTTCTCTGAATTTTGTTTCTGGCGTGAGAAGTTTGGAAGTTAACCCGGAGTCGGGTCCTGAGCCTCGTGGCCGGGCGCTGCGTGGATCTGCAGGGCGGTGACCGTCCTGGGAGCCAGCGGCGCGCTGCTGCTCCGTGTTTGTGCCGTGGGAGTCACCGGAAGGAGTCTCGAGCAGCAGGGCCTTGCGGAGAGGCCTTCGGAGACGCCGCCGGGTAACTCACAGGGTCCCCTTTTCAGAAAGACTTCCCTGGCGCAGACCCTCACACACCCCTCTGAAATGGAACCCCGTTTCAGGGCAAACCGTGGCCCTTTTCCTTTTCTTTGGACTTTTCTCAGATGTGGATCCTAAAGGAATGTGCGAGAGTGCTTTCCTGTTTAAAAGAAGTAACTCCCAGTCTCCTCATACTCAAAGCAATTCATCATCTTAAAGCATGTCGGAGGTACCTATTTTGGCCCAAAAAGGGGTGTTTGTAGAACAGCGGCACCCCGGACGGATTATTGGTAAGATCCGAAAAGACCTTGTCAGATCTTGAGAATCAGTGGGTCCGTTGATTCTCGCATGAGAAAAGCTGAAGTAGTTCTGGTGTTTTCAGACTCGGAGATCTGTCAGAAAACATGGGGCCTTTAGACACAAGTGCAGTGACCGACTAACTGATGTCGTTCACTTTCTAGCAGTATAATCTTTTTCGCTTGTACGTAGATGCTGTTGTTTACACAGTGCAAGTTCATTACAAATGTTTTATAACTTACATAGCTTCACGTATTTTCTTAGTTGATACTCGATATTATAAGGTTTTGAAAAAGTTTTGATAGTAAATGGGGTCTTTATAACTGAAAAAAATGGACCCTATCTAGAATTGAGGGCTTTTTGTCTGGTATTGCCACAGGTGCTGCTGATCAGTGGTGATATTGGACCTCAAAACATCACTTTCCCAGATATCTTTATAACACTCACGGTAGGGGAAAATTCCTTTTTATGTTTACATTTTTGCTATTTATGAGAAAACATTAAACACATGGGTATATTTTGTTAGCTGTTTTGAAGACGCTATCCTTTATTGTTCTGAGGGAGGCTGAGAGCATGCTGCATTTATAAATTTGAAAAATCTCATGAGCTTCTTGAACCAATCTAGCCATTAACTTGGATTCTGTATATCAGTTTTGATTATTTCAGTTCCTGTGTCAGTGGCACAATCTTTTCTATTTTTACAGATGTCTCAGGGCTTCACTGTAAAGGTGATCACAGAAGCAGATTTTAGTAGACGTAAATTGTGTATCCTGTCAGTGAAGAAGGCTGATTCTTTGTGCCATAACCAAGGAAAATACCTGCTCATGTTGCAATTGTCCCAACTTAAACATTAGAATAAATACTGTAGATTTTTTGGGCAGCTCTGATACCTTAGCTCTTATCCCTGGTAGCAGGGGACTCCAGTAGGCGAGGCGTCATGGGTCCGCTGTCCACGGTGCTGAAGCTGTGTCTCCTGTTTCTGTGTGTGTTTTGTTTTTTTGCTGTGTGTGTGTGTGTTTGCCTCAGACTTCCTTTCCAGCATACTTTAAAATTGATTTCAGAATTCATATTATTGAATACAATTTGATCAGAGAAATTCTGTTGAACTGAAATTTACACTTAAACCATTGTATTCTTTTTTTTTTTTTTTTTGAGGATAATTGTGTTACGACATTACCTTTCTTTTTGCTTAGTCTTTCACCCTCTCTCTAGCTGGGAGTTTTGTTTTCTGCATATGGTCATCAAGTAACAAATCACTGAAATTGAGTGAAACCCTGTTTTCTTAACCATTTTTTAAGAAAGTACCAGTTTGTTTTAGTCTGTTTTCTTTTGCTTATAATAGAATACCTGGAACTGGGTAATTTACAAATAAAAGAAATTTATTTCATATAGTCATGGAGGCTGAGAAGTCTAAAGTCCACAGCCAAAGCCACCAGCTCTGCTCCCAGGATAACTCACTAATCCACTAATCCATTAACCCATGAATGGATTAATCCATTTTATGAGGACAGAGTTGTCTTGATCCAATCACCTCTTAAAGGCCTCACCTCTCAATACTGCTACATTGAGGATTATGTTTCGACATGAGTTTTGGAGGGGATATTTCAACCATAGCACCTTTATTACAATATAGACATACATCTGTAGGCATATATCTATGTAGGGGCAGCTTGTCCCCAGAAGGGTTGACTGTAGCATGTTTTGCGTTCTCCAGCATGTTGGTTCTCAGCCTTTCCTGAAGAAGGGGTCTGTGTATGTGTTGGGCTATTGAGTGGTTGCCAGGCATTCCTGTTGTGTTAGAGCAATATCTACTCTCTTTTCTCTAATATTGAGGACATCTTTGTAAATCATTTTAGATGAAACTTTTTTTTCTCTTGAAGTTTTGTCAGTTACTTTAGAATTGACCCACAGGTTAGCAATAAAAAAAAAGATAGGTGTCGCTTGTGGTGCAGAGATTCTTGCACATGGTAGTAAATTGTATATCAAGCTAAGCAGTGAATTGTTGAGGTGCTTTTTGTTGTGATCATCTGAACTGATTCTTTGGCCCTGTTTGCTGTACGCTTAACCCAGGTTACTCTGACATCTCTTCCATTGACGGAAACTTAGGAAAGCTTCCTTCTGCCTCATCCAAGCTTCGGCAGTATTCCCTGATTGTCTACTCTTTACCATTTCCTCTGCTATGATCTGGGAACCCACAGGCAAATGAGACCAAGTCCTTATTTAAGAGCTCACCCGTTCAGATTGAGGAAGAAACACATAAACATATAATGACGGGGCCATATTCGGTGCTGCAGTTCAGATAAATAGAAAGCCAGGCGAATGTGTTGAGGGGTGATTCATTTGGGCTGAGAATCAGGGAAAGCTTTAGAGAGGTGTTGGCCTTTGGGCTGGGCCCTAGAGCATGAGTTGTAATTGGGCATGGATTGGGTATACAATTATTAGAAAAAGGCTAGAAGGTTGGAATAACCAGAGTAACGCCTATGTAGTGGTGTGGAGGCTGGAGTTATGGCGAGGCATAGTGAAGGAGTTGGGACCCTGCTAGAAGTGTTAGGGGCATTGTGAAATGGTTGGCACTCTGTTGGGAGATGGAGCGGGGTGAGAGTGGAGGAGGGGTTGCATGATAGGTGGAATAATGGCTTATAAAGCTGTCTACATACTAATCTCAGGACTATGTTATGTTACATGGCAGGGGAGTTAAGGCAGCAGATGGAATGAGGTTGCTAATCAGCTCCTCTGAAAATAGGGAATTATCCTGGATTATCTGGATGGGCTCAGAGTAATCACAAGTGTTCTTAAAAGTGGAAGAGAGGCAGAATAGTCAATGTCAGAGTGATATGAGGTGAGGAAGACTCTAGCTGCCATTGATGGCTTTGAAGATGGAAGGGTGCACTAGTCAAAGGAATGTGGGAAGCCTTTGGAAAAGGCAATAAAAGGGATTCCCCTAGAGACTTTGGAAAGGAATGCAGTCCTTGATTCTAGCCCAGTGAGACCTGTGTCTGACTTGTGACCTCCAGAACTGTAAAATAAATGTTTGTTGTATTAAAACACTAAGTGTGTGGAAGTTTGTTACAACAGCAGTAAGAAGCTGATACAGCCTAGGGGTCTTCCCTTGGCGGTTTTAGCTGACAAAATTAAGGAGGAAATAACATGATCAGATTGGTTTTAGAAGATAAAATGATGGAGCTGCCACTTGGGGAGACTTCACCCCAGATAAGCATAGTTCTATTGCCCATTTTACCTCCTAGGCAAGACTGGCATCTGATGTTGTCTTATGTGGTGCAAATCCCACTTCCAGTCTCTCTGATCAGCTTCCTCAGCCTCTACCCCCTCCCAATTGCCATGTCCCACTGGCTCATCTTTCCTCTGTGTTGGACACTTGGAAAAGAGTAGACCAGGTATACATTTAACAGCTGAGATTGCAGTGTCACAGGCTAGGCCCAATTCCAGCCTCACAGCTGTTGTTGGATTGTTTTCCAGAGGTTTGTTTCTTTACATCCTCACTAATCCTTTGTATCTTCAGATGTTTTAATTGTTGTCAATTGAGTAGATATTAAATATCTTACTTTTTTTTTTTTTGAGACGGAGTTTCACTCTTGTTGCCCAGGCTGGAGTGCAGTGGCGCAATCTCAGTTCACCGCAACCTCCGCCTCCTGGGTTCAAACGATTCTTCTGCCTTAGCCTCCCAAGTGGCTGGGATTACAGGCATGTGCCACCATGCCTGGCTATATCTTCCTCATTTAATTAGCATTTCCTTGGCTAGTGAGTTTGAGGATTTTCTACCCATACTTTGGCCACTTGAGCTTCTCTAAAAATTGTATTCTTAAATTGTTTGTCCATTTATTGTCTGGATTATCCTTTGTATAGTTTTTTAGAACTTCTTTTACATATTCTGGATTCTATTTGTATCCTGTTCTTTATACTTTTAAATATGCTATTTTGATGAACAGAT